TTTTTTCAAGTCAAAGTAATGAAGCAGCACATGTCGAAAAAACAACTTATCACCATGTTTAATCAAAAGAAAAAATAGCACTGCTCGCTTAAATGAATCTCTTCGCACTGAATTTTATTGACAAATGTCTAACCTCTAAAATGCAGCCAGTTTCAGATGTCAAAATAAATTACACCTACAACTAACGTCATCTAACTGTGAGCCGCAGGAACTAAGTTTACCACCTAATATTTTCGACTGCGGAAATAGATCGTTTGTGATTGTGTGCAAGCTTATCCTTTTTCTACCGGACGAACGCGTAAATTAATAATAAACGTCAGTCCGAAACGCGGTGACGCAAATCTGATCGCGTTGTGCTTTCCATCGACAGTCGCTAGCTCCGGCACCGGAGGTCACCATCCCGGCACACCTGGCGGAGGCGCCGTGTTTCCGGGCGCCATTCAGGGCAGTATCGGCGACTTCTCCGGCACCGGTCTGGTTTTCCCATGGGCGACGAACGCACGCGGTAAGCCGCGCCGGGGGATGATGAGGCGAGCCGTTTTCTCGGATCTCCAGCGACGTGGCCTCGAGAAGAGGTTCCAGCTGCAGAAATACATCAGCAAGCCGGACCGTAAGAAGCTCGCCGAGAAACTGGGCCTCAAGGACTCGCAAGTAAGCCTCCATCGTAGATTTATCCATCAAATTCTTTGGGCTATTATTCGGCATAAATATTCATCAAGTTATATAAAACGTTGTCAGATCTGAGGACCTGTTGACGCGTTATGACAAAATCCAATGCTCCCTTGCTTTTATGAACCGGAATTTTTCTCAATAAGAACCGTCGCTGGATATTGAGCGCGATAATTTGAATCTTAGCGATCAAATCGTTCGACAGTGTATCGTACAGTCGACAATACAGTTTGGTAATATTTTTTCTCGATGAATCTTACGTGACATTCTATAATAGGCGAACATATTTTCTGAGAATTATTAGGAAGCAAATTTTCTTATTGGATACCAGATACGAAAATCCTCATCGAGGAAAAGTGTTGCAACCATAAAGCAATCGATTGTATGCTGAGAGAAAAAGTATGTAAGAAATACTAAAAATATTTTTTAGTATATACTAGCGTTACATATTTATCTATACTAATATAAAATATTTTTTAAATGAAAGAAAATATATTTTTTCTTTAAACTTTAAGGAAATCTTAATTTTTCATCAATTATTTATTTACTTATTTATTTATCTCATCAATTATTATTTAGCAATTATTTATTCTACTTCAATAAAAGAATTTATATTTAAATAAATATGTTGTTAGTACTCACTAAAAATAAATATTAGGTACTAATTTTTAGATATTTTTTCTTTTAATTTACACATCTGATTTATTTTCTAGATTTTTAACGCAGATTTAAATTATCGTTATTCAACATCTAGCAACGGCTCTTGTTGGCTTTTCATTCTTGTTGTTGTTCATACTTGTTGTTTATCACTCGAACTTTCAATATCTTCCTTTGTGCGGAAACTTTTCTGTTTTGTTATCGAATCGTTGAGACGCAATGTTGAATTTATTGCAGAATGTACGCAGTTAAGATCGGCATATATTATTGGTTGAGTATTCCAAAGTTGATATTCAAGGAATACCTCAAAATTTTGCTTCGAGATATTCTTTGAATCTTAGAAACATAGAAGAAGCTCTTTGATATAATTGGTTCGAGTTTAATTAATTTCAAATCAATCGATAACCCATGTTCAATCTTAACGTTTTGCACGCTGCAACAAATTCAACATTTTGTTACAGCGATTCGATAATAAAACAAACAAACTTTGAAATGATCCCAAATATTTTAAACTCGAAAGAGAACTGAAATTAATAATATCTGAATCAAGATATCAACGTATCAACGTATACAATATTAAAACGTTTCTAACGCATCATCGCTTCGTTTTCTGTGCTCGCGACATTTGCCTGCTGTGCGAATTGCGAAACTATACACGTAGAAAAATGCTGTTCTACTACTAAGAGAGGCAATTACTTAGTTTCCTGTCCTTCTTTTAAGTGATGGTTATCTTCAACAAACAATAATCTCTTAAAATATGCTCATCACAAATTTGAGAATAGCTCATTACTATGTATTCAAGAGAAAAAATTATTTTCTTCGTAAGAATATTATAATATTTTAGAAACTGAAAAAATGTAAACAAATCGCTATTTTGTTTTAATTTAGCATTCTTGGCTGAAATGCTAAATTTAAATAATAGAATTCAGAATGCATTTTGAATAAATTTAATTCGCACGCTTGTGAGATGTGCTTGTAATAGATTTACGAATATGTAAACTTACTTGAAAAAATACTTGAAACAACATTTAAAATAATATCTATTTGAATGCAGCATATATTTTTGACGTGTGTGCGAATTATTTCTGGGAAATTATACAGTAGCTTTCATCATACCAAACCGAATTTTTGTTTCAATTTAAAACTCCGCTTGGATACTCGCATCGTCTTCTCTTTTTAGTGACATCAGAAGCGAGAGATATTCTTACGAAATACGTCGAAGTAAAAAAATATATCCACAGAGCGACATTTGCGATCGATTAAGCGCACCTCTGAAATATTCCGAACACTTTCCTTTTGCTCTAACAATTAATAATCTCTAATAAATAACTATAAAATTGACGTGACACGCAACCTTCTTTCTTCTTTCTAATTTCCTCATTATTCTGTCATATTAATTTTATGATTATGTATTGATTATTAGAATAAATGGAAAGTGTACAGAATATTTCAGAGGTGTGTTTAATCGATCGCAAGTGTCATTTTGTGGGAAGTAACTTTTTACCTCGACGTATTTCACAAGAATTTTTAGCATTATGCATTTTGTCCTTTCTAATGCGATTAAAGAGAAGTGGACTATGCGAGTATCCAGAAGCCTTAATATTCTTAATTAAAATGCTAAACACAAAAATTTGTTATGTATTTCTCTGCGTGTACTTATCTCTGTCTATTCTTGATTGAAATGTTAAAATACAATGTTCGTTATATACCTTTCTGTGTGTATCTATCTTATCTCTGTCTAGTCACAAGATAATTGCATGATATATTTTCGCGCTCAACGATTTCGTCGATTAAATTCAGCCCGACGAGATCGCCGCGAGATAGATCCTCTGTCTTATCCCTGGTGCGGTTTTCCGAGTTCGCGGATCAATTGCGTATCAATTATAGCGCGTATCGAGCCGTATAATTCGATTCCTTGTGATCCAGAATCCTCGCTCTCGATAATCGCATCAGGCATGTCATATGCAGGCAGATTTGCATGCACGATGATAGGCGGATGTGCTCGCGTTGTATTACAATCGAGAGGCTGCGGATAGGGACCGGTGTACGGTGTTTAATCTCGTGCTTAATGATCTCCCCGAATGCAATAGCAGTTGAAAACGCGCTAATTCGAGCCGTAATTAAACGGCAAGGCTCGTGACCCCGACGGAAAAAGAAAAGGGATCTCTCCTCGACTCGTCGCGTTGCGATTTATCTTCACTTTCCGCCTCCGCGTTGTTCCTTCCAACTCGCCGAAAATATCCTCTGCTCAAAGGAATTCGATTATATTATATACAGGAGATATCTGTGTGCGACGTAACACGACCGCTCGTCTGCAGATACACGGAAAGAAGTCTCAGTTCGTGTAACTGAATGGGGACCGTGACGAAAATTCGATGACGGGAAAAGACGTCTCTGTTAACGCGACGGAAAATATTCGTCTGAACGTTCGGTTGCTCTAAAACTGCTCTAAAAGCGTTGAGATAACTGAGAGTAATTGACTGAATAGATGCCTTGTGTGGGAGTTTTTCTGCTCTTATAACTGAGTTTTCTTTTTATCTAATTCTTGCTCTTCTCAGGCAGTGGAAAATTTAGTCACATCAACAGAATTGTTCTTCTCCGCGTACACGCGCAGAAAAATACGCACTGAGTTCAAGTAAACGTTATTTCTTTCAAGTGTTTCATAAGTTTTATATATCTGCAAATCTGTCATAAGCAATTCATTATAAGCAATAAGTTTATTTATACTAAACACATTCTGAATTCTAGTAAGTTTAGCATTTCAACCAAGAATATTAAATCGATAGAAAAACTTGGTTTACTTACTACATCAGAGTCAAGCCATTATTTTTCTCGATAAAGTTTTATAATACTTTTGTAAAGAGAATGAATTCTTTTCTTTTGAGTACATGATAATGAGTTTTCCTAAAATTTGTAATGAATATCTTAAGATTATCAGGAAAATATATCCTTTGTTGAAGATAATCATTCCATCTGAAAGAAGGAGAACAAACTGAATAATCGCTTTCTTTCTTTGTAGTAGAATAATTTTTCTATGTATAGAACTCGTCAATAACTGAACGGAAAAGTTCTTTATTATTTTATAAACGATATAACGTTTATAAAAGATAATTATAAGAAATTGAAGTATTGATTAAAAATGTATTATCCATACTTTTGCTAAGCTACGGGAAATGAAAAATATATGTTAACATTTATATTTCTCATAAGAACGTATGATACACATATAAGATACAGTTGAATAACAACATATTTTAACTTTAACATCACTTTTTCATAGTTATATAATTATTTCTCATATTGTATTCATTTATATATTTATATAATTATTTCTCATATTGTATTCACATATACATATTATTATTTATCAATATACACATATAAGATACAATTGAATAACAACATATTTTAACTTCAACATCACTTTTTCATAGTTATATAATTATTTCTCATATTGTATTCATTTATATATTTATATAATTATTTCTCATATTGTATTCACATATACATATTATTATTTATCAATATACACATATAAGATACAATTGAATAACAACATATTTTAACTTCAACATCACTTTTTCATAGTTATATAATTATTTCTCATATTGTATTCATTTATATTCATACATATTACATATTATATTCATATTATATTATATTCATATTATATTATATTTATTTATTTATTTATTTATTTTATAATATTATATTCATATAGATCATATTTATATTAATATTATATTAGTCATAGGCTCTTTATTTCATATTGTATTGTTATATTCTGGCTTTTTTAGGCTTTTACAAAAAGAGATTCTTGTCATTATTTTTTCATTATATTTCTTTTACTGAAGACAGCGACATCATAGATTTCCATGACAGCTTTCTTGCTCGGATTTTCTCGTTCAGTTTAACGGCTTCTACCTGCACACCGGCGTACGTATGAGGTGCGTCAGACACCCTGTAAAATTATATAAATTCCCCGCGTTTCTCGTGAAGTCGAGTCTTCCGGATGAAGAGTCTATTAGAATCTCGCGAAATTTCCGAGGTGACTCCCGCTCGGAATAATCGCGCTAGGTTCTCTCTCAATAACGGGCCGTGCACCATAATCGAGCAGTTAGGTACGTGCCGCGGCGGGAAAGTTCCGCGTAGAATATATATTGTGCTTAATGACCTTATTAGGGCACTAATAGTCGCTCTAACGAAGTACGAATCCCTCGTACTCGGCGCTGAGACGAGAATTTAGTTCCCTCGCAGAGAGTAGAGGACGACGACGACGACGAGGCCGCCGTCGCGCCTACGCTCTTTCTCTCTCCTTCTCTCTC